TGCAAATGTTGGAATGTTCTCTTCACTCCATTGTACACTTTTTAGGAGTTGCTGTAGAAAATACATTTTAGGTTATTTTTTGCAGGTGGGTGGCATAATTATTGATGTCCTGTTAGAATCTTCTATATAGTCATGGTTTACTATGAGTATACTCCCCCAGGGATAGTTTGAAAATATTAAAACTGTTTATCAATTTGAAAGAAAGCAAAGTATTTGTGTTGTGCACTGGATGTCCTACATTTCTTTCCCTGAGATACAGTGAAATCTGTGGAAACTGCTTTTGTAATTCAGTGTTTGTTGAAGATGGCCTGTTTAGCATTTAAACTTCCCGGTGCCTCTAAAAGCTAGAAAGGAGAGGGGATAATAAATATTCACCCAATTAATGGTTTTTTGTTATGAGACAGAGTTAAAAAGAGTTATGACACTGGTTTGGTTTCTCCTCATCTCTGTTGTGTAGTAAAAAGAAATAAAATTATTTAGCTGGAAGTATGCAGAAATAATACTTAAATCAAAATGGAAAATATTTAAGCATCTAAATCTATTTAAAGGAATTGAGTAGGATTTACTAAAACATCTTCCAAAATTATGTGATTAATTACTCCAAGTTTAAATTGAAAGTAAAACTACTGTACTGTTTAGGTGCTCTTACCCCAGCCACCTGCACAGCTGATAATTTCAAGTGCCCCCTATAAATCTGGCCCCCAGTTTCAGTTTCCATGGTTTTGCTTCACAGGGGTTGTGTCCAGTGGAGTAGCTGAGAGATGCACGGAGAGCAATGAACACGTTTGTATTGTTTGGTTGTCTTTTGTATTTTCAAACATAGTGCCAATCCAAAGTCAAACCACGTGTACCAGATTTACAGTTAGTAAAAATGAACTAATCTTTTGTAACTTTTATTTTTGGTTACATTTCCTGGCAGCTTAGCACAGCCCAAGGCATAGAATAGCAACAGCACCAATGCTAGCTAAATTAACACTTCTAATATCTCTCCTTATCCCTTCCTTTGGGGATGAAATTTTTTAAGGTTGCTAACTGTGAGATCACTTCAGTGTAACATTTAGGCCATTTCTTGGTTTTATTTCTGTTTTCTTTTGCCATTGTCCCCATGACTTGTGTGCCCTGAGTGAGGCTGCTGCTTCTTGCAGGGAGAGAGCTGGAAGCACACTGCAGGGCCACAGCAACTCCTGGATTTTAGCTGAAGTGGGGAACTGCTTGGCTAACCCACTGAAACACCCCAATAAGAAGGTTTTTCTGCCCAGAAAGCTTACTGCCCATAGGGGTGGGACTAGCAAGTAGTTAAAAGCATGAAGTGCTGTTATTTATTGCTCTCTGCACAGAGAACATAATCTATATTGCCTGCCTCTGGTCATCCTACTGATGCCCTGAGTGACAAGGCTTGTGAAGAGAGCTCCTACTGCCACACTCCTGTGACTGAGTCCTTTCAGCTCATGGAGGAATGAGTAAGCTTCTTAAATTAGAAGCTAGAATATTATTCACGGCAGAACTTAGTCCACCTGTCTGTGGAAGGATAGCTGTAGTTATCTGAATCTTTGTCTATCTCTGTGAAACCCAGTAACTTGTATATGACTGCAAACTCATCTTCTTGAAACATGCTACTAAAGCTTGATATCAACAAATGGAGAATCTCGGCATTCTCCTTTGGATAGCTGCACTAATGGTTAGTCACAGGTGATAAAAAACATGTACTTTATTTCTCACTTAAATTTGGTGTCAGCTTCCAGGTCCTGATTTGTTTTATGCACACCCTTTGGTAGATTAACAGGCCAGTTGGTACTAGAATATTCTCCCCTTGAAAATGCTTAGGTGCTGTAATTAGGTCATCATCTCTTTTTTTTGGTGATAAACTATACAAGTTGAACTCTCCAGATATTTTATATTAACAGTTTTGCAGCTGTATTCTGTGATCTCTGCTGGTAGGGTTTTTTTCAATTTCCTTAACTGTGAAGACCTTATCCTATTTTAAGTAGAGATAGGTTGCAATACTAATATAACCAAAGAAGGTTTCAAAGAACATTTTCTGTCTTTGCATACTGTTTGTTTCAAAGCTCATATTGGTATTTAATTCTGTTTGAAATCCCATTTGAAGAAACTCTTTTGTTGTTGAGTAAAACCTTATAGGTCGGGGTATCTGCTAGCATGACCAGTTATTTCAGTCATCTATACACGCTCTCACCTAGTCATAAGGGAAATTTATATAACTTTTCCATGTTACTGACACTTATAAGTAACAAAATAATAATAAAGAAATTGTATCTTTTCACCTCTAGGATGTCTCTTTCCTTTTGTTTTTCACTCTTTCAGCAGAGAGCTAGTATGAACTTTTTTGGCAAGAAGTTGTCTGGTATGGTAACCAAGGCTGGTCTTAGGAAAGGATTTGATTAGCTCTTCCAGCCTGTGTTACCAGTGCTGCCTCCAGTGATGCCTTCTGCCTGCTCTGTAGCAGCATGGGAAGATGAATAGCCTTTAAGTGATCCTGTCACGGATAAAAACCGCCAAGGATCCAGTTTGTAAGATTTGTAAACAGAACAAATGAAAACATAACCCAACCAATTTATGAGTATAATTATGGTAGAAAGTATTAATAGAATTTTTTCAATAACCATTCTTCCATCTACAGTGTTACAGTATGAGTATCTGGTATTGTACAGTGTCCTTTAAACTCAATAAATCTTGCAGAAGCCTACACTAAGGATATTTTCTTGGTGGTTGACATGAGGGCAGCCTCGGTATGTGTTAGATACTGTTGCATAGCATAATGTCAAGAGTATTTAATAGAGATAATTTTAATATAATAATATTCTTAGCAATTTTCCCATGAGATGTGGAGAAGTTGTGACAGAAAAATCTTCTAATTGTGGCTTGGATTTTTAGATTTTGTATTTACACATAGTTATGCTTCTTGAGGTTTTGGGGGGGGGGTTGTTTGGAGTTTGGGTTTTTCTTTTGCTTAAACACAATATTCTCCCCAGAAAAATGAGGTGGGAGACAAGTTGTGGATTCCCCAACCCTGGCAGTGTTCAAGGCCAGGTTGGGTGGGTCTTTGAGCAGCCCGGTCTAGTGGGAAGTGTCTCTACCCATGGGAAGGGAGTTGGAACTAGATGGTCTTTAATGTCTCTTCAAACCCAAATGATTCTACCAATCTATAATTATACAGTGGGATGGAGAGATAAGAACAGTCATCTCAGAATGCCGTCTGAATGAGATGGGTAATTAGATAGATAGCCACATACATGGAGATTTGTATGCATTCAGTAGACTAACTCAGAAAACCTATGGACTTCTAGCTTATGTCTTGTTAATATTTTGTGTTGCTTAAATAGCATTTATTGTCCCTTGTGTAGTCATTCACCTCTGATTAGAATAAATGTAACTCTTTCTGAAGTGAGTAGTAGTTGGTTAGATGGTGTAATTGCCTCACAGTAAACTAAATGAGACCGTGTTGTATGTAGTACTGTAGACTGAGAATTAAAGCTACATTTATGAAAACTTCTCCTGATTATGTGCTTAAATATGTTACTTTTAAAATTGATTATATCAGAAAATGATACTTAATGTATAGTTTTTGTAGTTTAACTTGCGGTGGTAACTAAGTACCACACAGCCCCTCATTTTCCCTAGCCATCCCAGTGGGCTGGGGAGGAGAATTGGAAAAAGGTAAAACCCATGTGTTAAGATAAAGAGGAGTTTAATAATTGAAATAAAGTAAAATATAATACTAATAATAATTATGATGACAATAATGATTAAAAGAGAGATAACAAAGCAAGCAAGCAATAAAACCCAAAAAGGACAAGTGATGCACAGTACAGTTGCTCACCATGTGCTGACCAATGCCCAGTCCACCCCAAGCAGTGAACGGCCCCCTCCCAGCCAATTCCCCCCAGCTTATATACAGGGTATGGCATTCTCTGTATGGAATATCCCTTTGGCCAGATCAGGTCAGCTGTCCTGGCCATGCTCCTTCTTGGCTTCTTGTGCACCTGCCCACTGGCAGAACATGGGAAATTGTAAAGTCCTTGACTTAGGGTAAGCGCTGCTCAGCAACAACTGAAACATCAGTGTGTTATCAACATCATTCTCATATTGAATACAAAATGCAGCATTGTACCAGCTACTATGAAAAAAATTAACTCTTTCCCCAACAAAACCAGGACAGTAGTCTTAAATCCATCAGACGTTTGTGTGGAAGAGGATAATTAATTTTAAAAGTCTCCAATGAATATCTCATTTCACTTTACAACATTTAATTATTAGATTACGTTGACAAAAATTGAGCATAAAACTTCAGGCTTGAAACAGAGGAGTAGGAAACTAGTCAAGATACATGATGCTCAAATGGCAGAGGAAATAAGAAATAAGGCTTTACTCATCACGCTCAATGGCAGGCATGGAAAAGTCTGCAAATGGGTTTATTATTGGAGAAGAATGTCAGGCTGTCTTTCATGCCTGATTTTCATAAATGCTTGCCTCTAGACTTTCCAAAAAAAACATTCAAGAAGGTGATTTCTTTTGCCTGCTTGTTTCTTCTTGCTGGAAGGGGTGCTCAATCAGTTCCCACTGGAAGCTTTCTGAAGAAGCACTTTTGTGTGCATCCCACTGTTCTGAGGCAGTGCACTGGCATTTCAGTCCTGTGCTCAGCAGCGGTTCTGGGTAAATTGCTTGCTTTTGTTATACCTGACCAGAGATGCTGAAAATCGTTGAGCCAAGCTCAGGGTGTACTAGGATCTGTCCAGATTCCTGAGAGAGTGCACACCTTTGCAAAGTGCTTCGAGTGCTGTGTGTCACTGGGGCTTGCCCTCGCCTCTCTAATTCTTCCTATAATGGGTGTTGGGTTTTTTCCCCTTCAGATTCTGTCAAAGCACCTAACTTGGAAGCTAGCTACCTTGGTGAATGCCAAAAGCAAAAGGAGTCAAATGCTTGTGTTTTCATGAGGTGATGATCACTGTACGGTCTTGACAGGTACCTCTCTCTCATTGCAGCCCTCTCAGCTGTCAGATGCGGTGATCTCCATGGTAACTCAAACCCCCAGACTCTTGACAGCAGCCTGCGAGGAGCAGCATTCAGCAGCTCAAGGGTCTCACGACCAGGTAAGCCAAAAGGAATTAGTCAATAAGAGCTCATGTCCAGTGGACCACTTCCTGTCCAACTGCCTTTCAGGTTTTTCCCCGGTCAAGCCACCCAAGCGGTCAGTTCCTGTACATACACCAGTATTGTCATTTTTGGCTACAGCGCTCCAGCTCTCTCCAACAGAGACACATTTGACAGAAAGTTTGACATTTGACAGATATTTGGCAGAAAATCTACGTTTATCAGGGTTGCGTTTTAAGCTACAGATTGAAGAAGAGATGCAAAGAAGCACTGGGCAATTCTTCAAGTGGCTTTGGTGTTCAGTAATTGCTGTGGTAAAAAATGTAACCTCAAATCACATCAGCGATAAGATCAGTCCTACCAGTGTACCAACACCACCAACAGTACTGCCTGGTCTCTAACATTAGGCCTGAGCAATCTTATTCCCCTGCAATGCATCGGGGTCTGTTTCTGTGTAATATACATCGGTACTCAACAGCCTTTTCGAGTTGCTGCTGTGCTCTTTTCACACAAGTTTCTCAATCCCTCTCTGTGCTAATGGCAGTATGTGGGGTATTCTGGTTAACATCTTAAGAAGGTACAGACTTCTTCCACTTCTTTGGTGAGTTAGAGGTAAAGAGCAAGATCTTTGCCAGTTTTGGGAAAGCAATGCAGGGACTATACAGCTATATGGACTGTTGCAGTACTATGAATGCTATGAACAAAAGTTGTATCTCTGGTCTTATGCACTTACTTGTGGAGGGGATTTATTGCTCCTTTTGTTGTAAGGTTTCACTGTTGTTTGTACTGAATTGTTCCTGTGTCATGTTTGTTGTGAGCCCTTGGTTTCTGTTCACTGTTTTCTGGATACCCACATGGTTTCGTTCTTGCTTGCCACGTAAGTCCACTTGGCTGGAATATACTGTCTCCACTGTACAAAGAAATTAATATTATTCTATATAACCACTTTACTACCTTTATTATCCAGTTTGACACTTCTTTGGGCCGTAACTGCTATCAGTTCTATTTACTTTTGTATCATTGATGATACTCTTAAATAATGTTAAGTATGGACTGGATGTTTTTATTGGAGTAATGTAGAGGACTTCTTCAATTATTATTTCTGTTAGCAGCTACTCTTTTATATCTATTTCTTAATCACACTTGATGATATTGATAATAATTTCCCACTGTGAATTTTGTGTGGCTATAATGTAGCTACTGTTCAAAAGTCTGTGTCTTTCATTTATGGAATAACTTTTGTTGGCCAAAGATTGTAACTATCAGATGATTAAATCAAACTCTGTTTTGGCTAGCAAGTTTCTATAAAATGGGGTTGACTGGCATCAGTTTTATTCATGTAATATTTCACTTTCCAGTGAAGTTATCCTTGATTAGATTGCTGGTTGTTTTGCCTGAGATTAATAATGAGTTAGAGCTCTATAACTACTGAGGTCATACTGCTTACCATCGTCAAGTATGGATGGTAGAAGTCTTACTGAATTTCTCTGGTGTTCCAAAATGTGTTGAAAATTAGCATAATTGAAATTACTCTCTCACAAAAACCTTTAAGACTTTAAGGCACAAATAATTAGGGTTTGCTAATTTTAAGTTGTCTTTTATGAATTATTTTTGTTACTAATGGCATCCTTATCTGTAAAAATACTTTTTTTCTACTTACAGAGAAGAAAATATGTTTGGGGTTTTTTGCATAGTGTGATTGTATTCCTTTAAAACAGGAATCAGAAGCTGGAGACCTTCTGCTCTCTTGTCTGTTTTCTTTAGCCCAAGTTTTCTTATTGGAATTAATTTCTGGCCGAGTTGGTTTTGTTTGGTTTTAGTGTGTAATCTATATTTCAGTCTAGTTACATCTTAACCCAGAATTGGAGTGTGATTTTTTTGCCACAGATTGCCTTTTTCAGACTATATAATTGTGACCTTTGGTCCCTGGTAGCAGTGGAGTAGGGAGAGTCGTTTCACATTTTCACCCCTGTACTTTCTCCCAAATGCAAAATTTTTCTGTGGTTTACTGGCCAATGAACTTCCATGCTTGTTATTAACTAAACTTTACATACTGAATGCACAAGCCCAGAGTGTAATTACTATTTTGATATATGAAAAACTATTCTAGGAATAAAATTTGGGAGTGCCTGATGTGTTACTACTGATTGCATGGCATTTCTATCTTAGACCTCACAGGTGGACATCCTTTTTAGTTCCTTTCATGTTTTACAAATACATACCTAAACAGTTCTCTGATAATGGTTTAGTGGTTTGCTTTATCTCATGTTGCCAACATTATATCCTTCTGGGATCTGCTAGCATGGTATCTCTATGAACTCAAGACACTGACACTTTGCTTATCAGTAATTTTGAGAGATAATGGTGCCAGAAATGTAGAGTACTGTCTTCTATTTCTTCTTGTCTGTCTCTTTTTTCCTGAAAAGTTAGAAGACTGATTTTAATGTTTCATAATGTTTAATGAGTCCTGGCATTAATGTAATAGAAACTCCTTTTTGGATTTTGGAGATTTGTTAGGAACAGCAGTGCACATCTGCTCGGGCACTTCTGTAATGATCCTTTATCTGAGCCAGTCAGAGCAAACCCAAAATCAGAGAAAAATGCTGTGATTTTACAAAGTTAGTAATAATTCTTTTGTGCCTGAGAATGGACCTCAGAAATTTCTTCAGTCATGTTTTACTAGTTTAGTTGCTTGAATTAGGCCAACAGTTTTTACATGATGAGTGTCAGATCACTTAGGTGTGTTCCAACAGATAGTCACCAGACTTATTTCCCCAGGTTAGTTGTGGCTTTTGAAAAATCATGACCAGAATCAAATTTTAACAAAATTTGGTCACGTTAATTTTGTCCTATGCATTCTTATTGTCATCATTGTTTGTTATTGCTGTGATGAGGGTGACAATGGCAAGGTTGGCTTTATCAAGATCATGTGTGATATGTTGTATAAATGCACTGGGAATTACAGTATTTTGACTAGAAAGCCTTGTAAAAAGCAAGATGAAACAGAGGGATAAGGCAGAATCAGATGTCAAAAAATGAAAGGTTGGGCAAGTTCAGTTAGAAAAAGTAGGCGTCTACACGTGATACCTAGGAAGAAACAGGTCACCCTTTGCTGGTTTGATGTTTATTGTATGAATTAGTTCCTTTGAATTTAAGAGTGAGATTAATAGGATGTAGTGGAAGATCCTTGAAACGTATCAGCATATTAGCAGGTTTCTGTTGTTCAAGAAGCTTACAATAGGTGTAATTCAAGAATGTCACAAATGAAATGTGATAGTGCAAGTTGTGACTGTTTTTGGTGTGATTGAGAAGAATGCTTTGTTGAGAAGAACCTTGCATTTTATTCAGGGAAAGTACAAGAAATAATAATAAAAAACTTGGCTTGCAGTTGCATGAGTTTGAAAAGTACCATAATATACCCATGCATACTATTTCTTAAAAACTTTTATAATTTTGTACAATTACTGATTTTTAGTGATTTGTTTAAATTTATTTAGGACTTTAAAAATTATACTGCACAGGCAGAAAATACAGAGGCTTTCTCTATGTTAACAACAGTTGTTGTTGGCACCTAATCCCACCAAATAATTTTATTGGTCAGTTAGATTTACGGACTAGAAAGATCAATCTGCTTTTAAACAATGTCCTTTATAATTCTTGGGTTTAGTTAATAAGCTTTGTATTGATTTTGATTTCTAAAATTGTTTTTCAAGTCATCACATAATATTACACCTGTGGGCATACACATGAACTGTTCCTTCTGACTACTCAGCATTTACTACACATAGTGTGGTTATTCTTAAAAGTCATATGGCACACTTTCTCTTCACTGAAAAATAGTGAACAGTTGTAATAATATTTTTAAAAATAGACATACTTAAAATAGCATAAACATTCTTTAAATTTGCAGGTGTTTCATGGCTTTATTTATATATTCCCTGATACTTTTCTTGTTACTTGGTGAATCATGGTTAACTGAAGTCTGATTTTATTCATGAAATATTACTTAATCAGTACTTTTTGGCCTATCAACCAAATCAGAAAAAAGTATATATCTGGCTAGAACATGAACTTCTCTCTTTTGCACCTTTACATGGTGCTGGAGAGATGAGGAAACTATTTCAGTCATGACTAACTTCTGCAATACTTGTTTTAAGCCTTTCTTTTACACAGTACAGTTTTAAACTACTGGTATTGAAATAACATTATTGCTCTTTATTTTTTTAAATCTTTTTTTCTTTGACACAGCTAAGTTTTCAAGGAAGTTTTTCAGTAATAGTAAAGAGGATGCTAACATTCCAAAATGAGACAGTAAAAAGCCTTATCCTTTGATTTTTATATTAAGCTGGTGATTAAGGCATAATTCAGACCTTTTAGGATTGGACTGTGACAATCCCATACACCATGTTTTGATTTGTAGAGCACCTTAAGATACCACGTTGACCATGCCAGTCACTTGAAAGTGCTTAGTGATAGATATGCAAAGTGGAGAAAGGCAATTTTTGTTGTAATTGTTATAAATATATATTCAGTTCACCTGTAGTGCCAGATTAAGTGAAAGGGGCATCCCTTCATGAGCATACACCATGGCACAGCATGAGGGAGCGTGGAGCTCTGCTTTGCCCAAAACTGCTGCTCTGAGTTTGCTCAGCAGAGGTTTCATGCAGGTAAATAGTGCATCTTCATCCACTCAAAGTCTGCTTGATTTGTCTGGGCAGAACTGCACAAATTTGCCCAGGTCAGTGAACTCAGCTTAGGCTGCAGCTCTCTTGGAAAGCTCAGGTATGTCCTTGGCCATGTACCATGCACTGTGTGTGTAGTACATTCCAGAGACCCCGTGTCTTCTGCAACCTGCCGGTAATGAGGGACTGTGTATGTGCAGTAAATCTGCTGCTTCCCAAGGAGAATTAGGACAGTTTTCCTCTGAAGAAGAATGGGATTTTCTGCTTTTAAAGGTTGTTTCACTTGAAGCTTTTATTTTGTACTGAATTATTTTTTT